ATTTCAGATACGAGCATTGGTATCTCGGAAACCGTAATAGTTACGAAGATGGTTAAATTAGGGCAAAGTTGCTCCTTGGAATGTTTACCAAGATGCTTTCAAAAAAGTTTTAAAAATTTCAAGGATTACTGAGTTTTTTGAAAAAAAAAACACGTTTTTTTGAAAATCAATTTTATTTTTTCCTGTCGTTACTTTTTAGAAAATCAAAAAAACCAATTGCACATTCTCATATCCACTTTATTAGGGCTATCTGATAGTATTTTTATATTTTCAAATTAGCTGATAATTTGTGAGAGACAGACAGAGGGCAACTTATTTTTTTAAATACGGACCTGCATTTTTTATTTCGGGTTTTAAAAGAACTCAGTCTTCTGAGTACAATGATATGCCACACTAGGTACAACGTTTTGTTTTGGTACAAGGTTTTGTTTTGGATATCTTAACAATAACAAAACTATTTAATTATTATTTAAAGTAATTTCAAGTCCGACTCTGGTTTTTTAATTTATTTAATCTGATTATATTCATCGTAACAATATTGATCAGCGCTAATTAACATTGAATAAGGAAAATGAAGCCAATTGAAAGATTCAATAATTAAATAATATCCAGGTCAACAATTTAAAGACTATTTTTAACTTTTTTTTATTGTGATTTTGAAATCTCAGTATACGATCTAATAGATAATATGCATAATATTAATCGTAATTATTATAAATAAACCAACAAAAAAATTCTACAAACTAGTTTCTGATGCTCTACATGTTCCAAAGGGGTACCATCCACCATAATGCACAAATTTATTTTTCGTTCAATTTTATTTATAGCTCTTTGAACATATCTTCTTATACTTCCGAATGAATTTTGTACTGTTTATTGTAAATGTTGAAATGTATACGTACTTTTACAAATGACGTCAAGTAATAAAATATATATAATGTATTGATATATAATTATTACAGTAATCTACGAATTTCTGAGGCATTGGGAGAAAACTACGTCACTGAACCTGACTTTTACATCAGTAATTTAATTATTTGTAAGTAGTATTCAATAATAGATCTAAACAATGTTGTTAATTGACAATTACACAATACTGTGTTTTTTAATTTCGTATTATTATTATTATTTATAGACACGAAGAGGCCAAAAACAACAGCCGAGCGCGTACGAGAATACAGAGCTCGTAAAAAATTATTGAAACAAAAATCGCCAGCCAAAACAGCAGCTCAACGCAATCGAGAATACCGTGCTCGAAAAAAAGCTTTGAGAAATGCCGCGAATATAGGAGACAATGACATACCATCGATGAGTTCCTCTGGATTACAGGTCACAGACACTGCACATCCGAGTACCAGCAGAAGCGATGGCAATATTTTGTATAATATTCTTAAACCTGTAAGGCCTAGGAAATCGTGTGCACAACGGTGTCGTGAATATAGAGAGCGGAAGAGGGCGAGGCAAGATGCAGAAAATATTGTCGCTCAAAGACCAGTAGCCTCTCCAATTGCCAATGTTTCGTCAAATGTCACTGACATACAAGTCGATTCTCTGCAAGTGTTACAACCCGAAGCGTTGGAAGTAGAGTGTGATGTAGATTATTTATTGAAGTGAAATTTCTTAACGCGCGCTGGGAGTAAAAATTCAAGGCCGCGACACACGTGCTATAGCCTGTCCAACGACAAGATCCTTGCCAGTGATAGACATGTCTGTCATTTTAATTTCAAAGTAGTTTATTTTATTTTACAAAGAAATAAGTTGGTATAATTGGAACGCATGGCAAGAAATTAATATATGTATTTAAAATTTGAGTGACACGTGATTACTTCAAAATATTTTGAAAAAAAAACTGTATAAAACTGAAAAAAAATCTAATCGAGTTATTTTATTTAAAAAAAAGTAGCATGTGTTAATACAAAACAAAGAAGAACAAAACACCACATACCAAAAAAATATAAAAAGCTATTTCTTACTTTCAAGCTTTAAGAAACTTCCCGCATTTATTATTATATTTATCAATATGACTTATGTACAAATACAAATTTGTAATATTCCACAGGAATAATAAAATAACATAAATAATACAAACTATCTTATTAATCATAACACCGAATTTTATACCTTAATGGTTGATTAATTGACTTTAATCTAATTTTTTTTAAACCAGTACCTTTTGACATTATTTTTCTGCAGTACTCCATATTATTTACCTATCGTGTGATGTTATTTTACAGCTACTCCAGGTTTTTAGTATATGTTTAGTACGATCCTTGTACCCTATACGAGGTGCACTGGTACTTGTATCAGTGACGAGATGCACTTATCTGTGACGAGATGGTATACAAACTTTATTGATGGTAACATTATTAAATAAATTACTAGCACCTTAATTTTGCTACTACCACCCAAAAATAAACTACTACCCCTGTCATTTTATTTAAATCTACGAAAATGTATTATTTCATACTTGACTGATTAAATGGCTAGAAACATTGATTTATTTACTTACTTAAAGTAAAACTAGTAATAAAATTATGTATAACATTTATTATTTTAATAATCTTTGACACCACATAACAGTCAAAAACAAAATGTACAAATTATTACTATATAAATGTGATAATATTTTTATAAAGCTTAAGTACTGACAATTTATGTATAGATCCCGATTAAGGTGGTAGTAGTTTATTTTTGGGTGGCAGTAGCAAAGTTAAGGTGGTAGTGGTCTATCTTTGGGTGGTAGTAGCAAAAAGACTTTCTGCCTGGGCACCGTGTATTAACTATAAACTCTGCTCTGGGTCTACCAGTTCCCTCGATTTTTCCTCCACTTGACTTTAACAGACACAAAAAAAACACGTAAAACACGAATCAAAATGCATCATCTTTTAAAACGCAGGGTATTTGTCATAAGTTGACACAAAATTTTAACCTATAATTTGGCAAGACTTGACAAGCCTCAAAAATCTAAAGGCGGGTTCATACGCATCGGCGCGGCGTCCGTTTTTCGTTCATCGTTCCGTCAAACCAATAAAATTGGAATATGATCTGTCATTTTAGAAATAAACCAATAAAACTGGTTAAAAACAACAAGAGACGCCGTATGACGGATTTATTTTTAAACTTATCCATCATAGTTTTTAAACTTATCCATCATAGTTTACTTATCCATCATAGTCATTTTTTTAAACTTATCCATCATAGTTAACTGTTAAAAATATTAGAAGTGAATTTTAAAAAAAAAAACTTTACTGTTACCGTTTTCAAATAAATCCAAAATAATCGAGTTATTTTACTTTGAAAATTTCCAAAAAAATATTTTTTGCTAAAATTTTGAGAACCACTGGATCTTTTCTGGATTTCTTTCTTGTAAATTTAATCTACCTATGTTGCCATATTGTCAACAAATTATGTTTTTTTAACTAAAAACTAAAAAAAAATTGCAAATTTTCAAATTTTTTTTCGCGATAAATACCTCGATCGTGTTTCTGGGGTCGAAATATACTTCCATTAAAAATATTTGCACTTATTTAAGATTCATCATGTATATATACATCGCTACCAGCGATGAGTTAGACAGAAACAAAAGACATGACGAAATTTAATTTAAAAGGCCATGTTGGAAATCGCCGGACAAAGGCGAATGCATTATACTCCAACGGTCAAAATCATTTTGATTTCTAACGCTGCGGCGCAATCAGCGTACGCCAGCGGTAATTATTATATTACGCACAAAAAAAAACAAACGAATACTAAATATTTAATTTATCAAAAGCATTCGATAGTCGTGGCTCAACGATAACCATTTAGTCGCACGGCGAGGTTGTCACATATGCTTTAGTACCTATACAAATGAATGAATGATTTTATTCGAATAAAACCATTCGATAGTTGGGATCATTCATTCAGTAACCATTCGATAGTTCCCATCGCTAGTAAATACTAGCAATGGGAAACTCAATAAAAAAATGTGTCCTTATCTTTATCTGACTCCGGAAAAAATCAAAGATGGCGGCTTTTTTCATATCATTGCCACCGACCGCTGTCGGGTTTCTGGGAAGGAAACCTACATCGCCGGGCGACAACTAAAATCCAGGCTATATTTTATTATAATCGATCGACCTGACGAATAAATGAATGGTTTTTGCTGCCGAATTACTAGAATACAATATTTCAAGGCAAATGACGCATCTATTCGATAATTTTTATTCGAATAGTTTTCGACGAATGTTTTTTTACTAGCTATCGAATTATTCGAATGAATTGCAATTGCAATATCAAATGTTTCGATAGTATTTAGTCGATAGTTCCCACTACTAATAATAATCATCCGGTATCCCTGACAACATACCTAAATTCGGGATTTTTCCGGAAATACCAGACGTCAGGCAACTCTAGATGAGACATATTTAACGAGACTTCGAAGATTCTAGATGATTCTAGGCCTAGGTACTTTAAGGATATATCAAAATTACGTGACTATTGGTGTAAAATTCGTTGTTTAAAATTTATATAATAATTTTTGTGTCAGTTTTACATATTTATTGTTCAAAAATTTAAACCGCAAAAAAAAAACGAATTTTTTCCCGCTAAATCGGAAAAATTCTGTATCTTGTGTTGTAATTGTGTATCTTGGGTACCTTCGTTTTTTTACAGAAAGATTTGTTTTTCTATATTATAATATCCGATTTATACATTTACAATGATTATTGCTAAAGCATAATGCCTCAATCTAGAGTTATCTGATTATATTTTTGAGTTACTATTATTCATCATTGTGAACATGCCCATAAAATTGTGTCTTTTGTTGTATATGTTTTTATAATTATTCAACATGATTATTCACAAATTGATGGTTGTTTTTTACGTGGACTTGCGATAAAAAATAGTTTTTCATGGATTTTTTCATAGGCGACTGTACTACCTATATGCTATCTAGCATAATGAAAATAAGGTAATTGTTCTAAGGTGATGTGTCATTTTTAACCAGTGTATTATTTTAGGTGGTGGACTAAGAAATTCTACGTATTACGGAGGTTATACTTACGGAATGTACAGTGGTAACACAAAACAAAAAATGTAAGCTAATATTTTTTTAAATTGAATTTCTTTTTTTTGAATTTCAAAATTTTTGGGACTTTATGGAAATATGAAATCTCATAGGTGATTCTGTTTTAACTGTTATTTTATGCTCATTTATAAAAGAATGAAACTTTTTGAGTGTAGGTATATTTATGTCCTATATTTAAGTAAAAATGAATGTTCAATGAATGCTCATGAAGATTGTATTGATCGAGGGGTGTCTCACTGTTGGAATTACATGTACGTTTTCTTGGCAGTTGTTGGCATTAGTCTTCGGCAGTCGACTATAATTATATGACAGGCATAGGTATTTTAGGTTTATTATTTTGGCAGTACATGTAGGTACAGTATTATCATTTTAAAAAATGTTTATACTTAAGTGGCCGATTCATCTCTCCAAAAAAATCCTTTATGGGTATTTCGCCACTGCACTGCAAAAATCTACAAAATAAAATAGTTATTTTTTGTCTTTTGTATGGTTTAACACTTCTGCGTTAAACCTAAACGGACACTGCTTGTCTTAAGTTATGTTTACAGTAATTATATACAAATTTGCCTAACAAAAAAAGGCTTAACGTTTCGGAAAGTTTATCTCTTTCCGTCGTCGGGAGCAAAAAAATACGAAGAATAAAGAAAAAAAAAACTATTTAAAATATTTAAATTCAACTATTCGAGAACACTTTACTTTTTTAAAACAGATACATCTACAAGAAACCGTTGACTATTTTATTGTGTAGATTTTCTTGCAGTGCAGTGGCTTAAAAGATTTTTCTGGAGAGATTATCATTTTAGTTTAACCCACTTTTAAAAGCTTATAACTTTTTTGTTTGTTGGGTTAAAGCTTTCATTCAAAAAACATGTTTTAGCAGTTTCAGCTAAGTTTTACGAGTGTTGTCAAAAATGACAATAGGTGTCACATGTCAGATTTTTAAAACTAAAAATAATTTTTTTTTAAATGGGACACCCTGTATATTAGTAGCGCATTAGATAGCCCCCTTTTCCGAATTCAAAAATTGTGCATTCTTCTTAATTTCTTTCAAGATCGACAAAAGCGTTAACAAACAAAAAAGTTATAAGTTTTTATAAGCGTTAAAAGTGGGTCAAACTAAAATGATAACCCTGTACATTTTTTGCCCAAGTGAGATACCTCTCGGTATTGATATAAAAATTTTACTAATAGCGTTGATTGAAAGAATTGGGAAGATACGCAACCTAATAGGCGAATTCGTGAAAAGGCTGATTTGACGTCTCCTTACGTCTCAAGTGCTGTATGGTGGAGACACCAATCGTTCTGCGGTCAACGCATAAAACACTTATTGTCTCTAATTCGGCATGTGCGGATCTGGCAGTGTTGCCATATTAAAATGTGTTATCGCGTCGTTGAAATGTGATAAACTGCTAACTCCATTATTCATAATTTTAAAGGAGAGAAAAGAAACGGCACAAGAAAATACGTACCCATGTAGCAAGTATATTCATGCGTTAATATGATAAAGAGATAAGAATAATATTTGTTGGGGAATAATAAAAATCAATATTTTGTTAAAAATTTTACGTAAAAATTATGAATTGAAAGTATTATTTACCTACTTAAAATAAAAAAAAAATAAAAAAAGTTAGCAGCTTATCACGTTTCGCTGACGATATATGTAATACATTTGACGAAAATATCTCTGGATGAAAAATCCGCGTTTATGTATTGAAAATGTATTCGTGTTAAACATAGAATAAATAACAAAAATAAAAATTCTTTTATAGATACTGAATATGTCGTATGATTTTACATATGAAATAACAGCGACCTTCATTTCCAAGCCAACTCTGACGCCGTTTTTGTTTAATTATATAATATTATATTAAATTGTATAATGATAGAAAATCCGTATTATTAACGTACTGTACCTAAAATCCGTAAATCTACGGATTAATCAGTAGTTCTGGCAACACTGTCTCCGGCAACCACTCGCTATGTCGACTGAAAGCAGAACTACGGTCTGCTACGGCACAGTAGTTAGTTTGTCTATGGCTGTAAACGACTTTCAGTGCGCAGCGGCGCACAGCTAAACTAAATCTCGGAATTCTCGGACAGGCTGACGGCAACGCCAGCTACATCTCGGACAGGTTTTGTGCCACGAAAATGGTTGCGCATCTTCTTATTTTTTCAGTCAACGCTAATAGATTGAGAATGTACAGAGTGGTCCAATAATAGATGATGGGAGTTGTAGCTTGGGCATTGGTCATGATAGAATTTATGGAAAACAATAGGTATTAATAGATAATTTGGCCAAGAGAAATCGCTTTTAAGGTGCGAAAGTTGGCCTCTAGGAGGTGTAAACCTCAAATTTTAGGATTAACTGTTAAAAAAAACACTATTAAAAAATCACGATATCAGTTAACACTGTGATTTAAAAACTACGGTATCGTTCATCCCAAATTGAATGTCAAATTGTTTAACCTTCCTCCGGCACTTTATTATTAATATTGTTACGGATTCCATGGGTCCACTAATTTAAACTCACGATAAAATACTCAACGATTTTATTTTCTTACTCTATATACAATTTACACACTAATTATGCAACTATGACTCTAACTTTTCTGCCATCTTCGCCAATTAATTACATTTCCTTTTTACAGTAGTAGTACTATTCAAGACCTATTCGTAACTAGTAACCGACTATCTGGTCGAAACCGACTATCCCGTCGGGCGCGAGAAGAAGTGATAGTATTGGTTGATAACATGATAACTATGGTTAAAATATCTGCATCCATTATTTTATGGTTAAGACTGCTCGTATACGTAGTAGCTACCGGTCTTTATTTTGGTGTAATCTGGTGAATCAGTCGGGCTATAGCCGGGTATATAACTCAGTTAAACAAATAAACAAATTTTGACTTATAGATTATTTAATTACGTAAAATTACAAAAAAATGACAACACTTTATTGTGACAAAATATTGTCGGGAAAAAAAGAACTTCATCGACATAAAGAGTATCTAGAATTTTAGAAAATTAAAAACGCTCAATCTAGAAAATTAAAAACGCCCAATTTGCACTTTGGGTTTTTTTTCTGGCGCAAATAAAGTCTGAAAAGCACCCAATCTGGCCACACTGCTATAGATAAGCCAGACTGGTGGCAACAGAAGGCGTTTTGGCGTTAGGTATCGGTTATCCTAACCATATTTGAAATCAGTAACCAGTTCGTTACCACAGATGTTAACCCATTCCGTACTGCGACCTTTTCAGTTCTACTGTGGTCTTCTTTTGATCCTTGATCCTTGTTACATGAATTTTTGACAGAATCTGCACATGGCTTCGTCCGTCAATACCATTAGCTTTAGATGCCTATTTAGCTTACAGTGCCCTGGCAGTAGATGCACTACAACTTTGACTGTTTTTCTGTCTTTACTTATCAGTCTGCCGTTAATTTTGGCGAATGTTCTACTATGAACTTTTTCGCCTGTTTCTACCCTGGTAAATTGCTCCACCATTCTAGAGATTTGTTTTGTGGCTCTATTAATATACCATCCTGTACAGTCATTTCGAGCAAATTGTACAATACAAAAAAATGACAGTTAGAAGAGAATCAGCCTTGTATATTTCTGTTGTTGATATATCTCAGGATTTTGAGGTATTGTAAGAAATTGAACTGTTGGATTTTCTTTTAGCTACCTGAGATGTTCTACCTTCAAAAGTACGGGTTGTCGTGGAAAGGGCTATTTGCTGAAGGACCAGGGTATCGATAGCTTTGTTATGGTCACTCAGCATAGCCATCCACCTAATTTTCTCATGGAGAAAAGATCGGAAATCGCCAAAACTTTGAAGGAATTCGCAGCTACCATTCCAGGGAAACCCATCGACATTTACAACAGCGTAGTCTCAATGTAAGAACCATTTAAATATTTCTTTAAAGATATTTAGTAGTTAGTAGATCACCTGTCAACGAACTCCAGTATCTAGGTGTCTTTATCAAGCTAACTGGATGCCGTTTTTTGTGAAACTTACGTTATTATATTAACTTATTTAATTTTATTTGAAAGATATTTTAACAATTTTAATATCTAATAACATTTATTGACATTGAGATTGAACTAAGCTATTAATTATACCTTTCTTTATTATTTTAACAATTTACAAATAAAATTAGAATGCCACTCACTGATAAACCGGAATTTAAGTTAGGTTAGCCATATTAACAACTCCATCGTGGTCTCCATAATTTTGTTGATGTGCTCCTTTCTTGATCTTTTTATTGAAAGCGAGACATTGGTTTTATAATGATTTTTAGAATGTTTAACATACGGATAATAGTCGTAATACGGTCAGAGTGGTCTTTGAAGGGAACATTTGATGCTAATTTTTGTTGGGCTGACCCCTATACCGGGTGCGTCTCAAAAGTGGCTCACCTTTATAATTTTCATTTATTTTTGAGATTTGGTATGTTAGTTGATATATGACATAAATTAAGATTGATTGACTTATTCAATTGTTTTTGACCACTTCCTGTTTCACCGGAAATAACTACAATTTTTGATTTTTAAATAGCACCCTCGGTATATCTTGAAATGCATCCTCGGTATATCTAGATAGAATGACATATCATATGTCAACTTAAAAATCGTATTTAAATTTCAATCTAGAGTGCCATGGCTGTGTTAAAAACAGCAAGTTTTAATTAAGGAGCCTTGGAAAAATTGATTTGATCGCCTAATGTTCTTCATGTCTTGTCCAGGTCTGTTAAACGATGCCTAAATCGTATTTTTAATCATATCTTGATTTTTTCCAATGAAACAAGGCTGGCTGATTAGCATATTTGAAAAAAGCATTTTTTTTACGAATAATTTGGTACCACATACTTGGTATTTCGAGTCAAATTGTTACAATTTCGAATAAACCTCTTGTGAAAATGTCAAAAGTTGACATATGATATGTCGTTCTATTCAGAGTGTCATTTTCTATCGAATAAAGTAAAAAATTACCGAGGGTTTCATTTAAAAATCAAAAGTTGTAGTCCTTTCCGGTGAAACAGAAAGAGACCAAAAACAATTGAATACGTCAATGAATCGTAGTTTATGTCATATACTAACATCCCACATCTCCAAAATAAAAAAGTTATAGAAGTGAGCCACTTTTGAGGCTCACCCGGTATGTCATTCATTAAAAGTTGACATCAAAATTTGTCAGAAATTAATATTTAATTTAGAAAAAAAATAAAAGATTCAAGAAACAAATCTTCTTTCCAAAAATATTTTCTACCAAATAGATTTAGACGTTTTTGAAAACTTTTTTATATATTTTTTTTAAAATAAATATGCTCTCGTTAGAAATTGCCATCGATTGCCATTTCAAAAGCCACTATAACACCGTTATTTTTCTCCATACATCATACGGTACTTGTTTTTCTATTTTTTTTTGTTTGTATTTTATTTCAGATACCCCGAAATTGAGCAACTTTGGCCTTTTTCAAGAGCTGTCAGAACCATTAACAGAGTTAGACAGAAGACAGGCTTTATGAGAGTTGGATCCATCCCTACAGTATAATAAAGAGTAGACATTAATAATTTCAATAATATTTGAGCTTGTTAAACTTTTTCATAGGCTTAATTTTTTGTCACGTAATAATTTCCACATGCTTTTTTTTAAATTTAATATAATATTGAGTTGAGTTATGAATTACCATTGAATTAATGAAAAATTGTTTTATCTGCTTATTTTGTTTCGAAATTTGTAATAGCGGCATTGTTTTCAGACAATTTATCTGACTAATTAGTTTATTTAAAAATCTTTGTATATGTTACAGTGAAAGTCGGAAATTCAGTGATTGTTAACATTCACTAGGAATTGCTAGCAATTACGCATTGGACCGGTGAATTTGATATTTTAAAGAGATTTGTCGACTTTGTCTAGTAATTTCTAACATTCACTATAGTGAAAGTAACATTTATTAAAGGTTTCCAGTAAAAGTTATTCTATTGTACAGGGCGAGTGTGGTGAGGAAGAATGTTGGTGAAAGTTAGAACAAATAAAAATTTAAGAATATTGGATCACCTCCATATTCAAGCTGATCCACGTATCTTAAAATTACAATTTACTTCATTAGTATTTATTAAAAATTATAGAAAATAACGACACTAAACCTAAATATTAACATCGCACCTTCTAAAAATTATAAAGATAAACATAATAAACATTTTAAAGCGTACAAAACAATTAAAAAACCATTCATAAACATAAGATTACTAATTGGTACAAGGTTTTTTAATAAAGTTCTTCATTGTGGACAAAATAAATGTATGGCCGAATTTTCTTCAACGGCAGTTATTCGTTTTTTCAAACCCGCTACTTTAAGCATATCAAAACGTTTAATAATTTCATAGTCACTAGGTTCCTTAATATCTTTTTCTCTTGCACGCTTAACTTCTGCTATGACTTCATTATATTGCAAAAATGAAAAACAAGCACTATTATATTCTTGCTAGTGCCTAGTTTATCTTAATTTTTCACCGAAAATTTCTTTCATAGGAAAAATCCTGCACAGCACTTTTTACAACGATAACAAAAGAATTATACATAATCACAAAAAAAGCGAATTTACGCCAGATGTCTGTCAACGTTGCAAACGCTTAGCCCAATTTAATGTTATCCTTTTATTGCCTATTATTCAACTTATCCTTATTTATCCTTACATTTTACAACATGTGGCAACCGCGCTAACTGAATCTTTCAAACTCACTGCTATCGTCCAGGGAATGCTAGCATACACTAGTAATAGTTGGTTTCAAAAATAGCTGTTGAAGTTTTACTGGCGTAGCCTCAGCAAATCAGTGAATGGTGAGCTTTTCCTAGTAATTGTTAACAATCACTGATTTCCAACTTTTACTGTAACATATAAAGTACGTCTGCTGGATCTGTGTCTATGAAAGGAATGCGGACAAAAAACACTTAAATAAACAGCAATATATTTTATACGTCGACGTGACGAGTACGTCACTGCAAATCGCTCCGCCCACCCATTTTATTGGCTACTTGCAAATTTGTCGAATTTTTATTGATGGGACGCGTCGTCTAATTTTTTACGAAAAACATCGAGAGAATATCGTTTCCCCTCTCACGGATACCCCGTAGCTACAGAACGGACAGACGTACTGTACAAGAGGAACAACTTCTTTCGTATTAACAAGTTGAGAATACTGTATTCTTTATAAAAATTTTTGCTTGGTCTAAAATGGTTAATCCTTGTTATCTTTTCCAAATTTCAAAACCGTTTTGGAAAAATAAAGAAAATATGAAAACACGGTTGAATTTTTTCTAAAGTTTCGTTTTCTTTGTTTGATAGGTCTTTATTAATTTTGATTAACATCATATTTTTGGCTATTGTTGTTCAAATTTTGTGGTTCTTTGTACAGTAAAAAATACCTGAAATACATTATATTAAATTAATTTGATTATTAAATTGAGATATGGTGTCGGGTAAAATTATCCTTTAGTATAATTCGGATAAAAATAAAGACACATTGTTTGATTATTTTTGTGTTTAAAAAATTATGTAGTTAAGAAATTGTACAAAAATCGGTAGATCAGGTTTGGCTTTATTTCCTGTAACCTATTTTTAACGCATTTTTATTATAATTTAAGAAATGAAATATATTAACAGGTTTTTTACCTAAGATATTTTTTTTAAACATTTATTCAAAAGCAGTTTTATAATGCTATAGTTCTTTACAGTTGACAAAATGACTTTCGAAAAAAAGAGCGTCAAGTAGATTTTGAAATAACCTAACCTAACAACCAATGATAATTCTGTCGGGTCGATACCTATCGGGCTTATCTTATAAAATTGGCGTGTTTTTTTAACCTGAAAATTTTATTTTTACGCTTGAATAAATAATTATTTATAATGTGGAATTTTTAAATTAATGTTAGGTTCATAATTTATCAACTTGTATTTTTTGTCAATAAAGTTTTTAAATTTCATAGTAATGTTTTATTTTTGTTTCAAATACTATGAAGATATCATATCTACAAAAAAGCTGGATAATTTGAACTCTCAAGTACTAACACTTCGTTTCACAGACGCTACGGATCATATATGTACATACCGGGTGGCATTTTTCCGTTTCCTATACGGCTAGCGCAACCGATTGCGTTAATCGCATAGGAAATGGACGCGATACCTGCAACTCCGTTTATTAATTGGTCATCGCAACTCATGCAAAGATGCGCTTGCAATGAACGTTCTAGGCATGCTCTATTTGTAGTTACTTAGGACACAGAAAATGGGATACTCAATATTACTTGTAACCACTACACTATAACAAAACTCTAAGCATTAAGATTTAAACAATTTAATTTGACAATTAATCAAATAAATAAAGTTACAAAAATATTATTCCAACAATGAAAATTATAATAATTCCATTCATTGATTTATATAGGGTGGATTGCGATAATTGTAATGCCATGTACGTATAGGTCAAACAGGTAGAAATTTAGATATAAGGATTAAAGAACATATAAAATCTATTAATAATCTCCAGCGAAGTTCCGGTCTAGCAACTCATATTAAATAGTCACACAGTTAATGAAAACTCAATTAAGTTATTAGATAGAGAAATCAAAAGCAGATGCTTAAATTACCCAGAATAGTTAGAAATATTAAAATCAGCTAAAAACGACAATAATGTAAACGACCAACAAGGATTTCTAAACACATTTTTTATTACCTCTATTGTAAACTCCTTAAATCCACCACCATAGCAAATATATTATATATCCTTAAAATGTAGTCAGACGGTTAGTTTTTAAAGGACTCTTAAAAATGTCTAACTAAGTTACTCTTTTTATTTTTTTTGATACATCTAAAACCGTGTTTAATTAAAATTCTAATATTTCAACGATGTTTCACAAGGAACCAACCACCGACTCAGCACTCTAGTACTATTTATTAAAAAAAAATCAGATTGACATATCAACCACGTCTTAAAGCTGTGTTGCCGAACTGCCTTGCCAATATTAGCATATAAAACGTTAAAAGTTACCTATTAGATTTATCTCTCAATTATGTTGCTTTTTTTGGAATCCAGAATAAAAATACCTCATTATTAATTTATATTTATTAAATTTAACACCTATGCAGGTCCACCTGTCATAATAATATTATGACTCATTATAATATCATTTGCATTGGTTGCGTTAACCACTTAGTAAACGGAGTTGCAGGTCTCGTGTCCGTTTCCTATGCGATAAACGGAATCGGTTGCGCTAGCCGTATAGGAAACGGAAAAATGCTACCGGGTGGTGCATTGTCGTTGGAAACATAGGAAATCCCAGGCTAATTTTGAACTGCCCAAATATTGCCCCCCTGTTAACATTATACCTCGCATTATACATAAAAAAGTTATAAAATTTTACGCAGAATCTAAAAATAAAAAAAAATAGTGTATTACATTTAAAAAGCATGCTATAACTATTTTGAACCATGTAACACTATTTTGAACATGTAACACTATTTTGAACCACCCTGTCTATAATAATTTTAAAATGTATATTAACCTTCTCTACAGTTTTTTAATTTTTTTTTAATAATTCTAAAACACTTTAATAATTCTCAAAACAAATCAAATAATGAACTTTATCGTTGGCTCACCCTATCTATTTAATTTACTAGGTAACAAGATTCAATACGAGCCCTAACAACTATATGTTGGGACAAGGTCTCTTTTTGCAATAAAAATAGTAATTTGTTAAAACGACTCAATTCATTTTATTTATTCTAAATTCAAACATTACAATATGATCTAGACAATTTTACTATATTTTTATAACTTTGCAATTAAATCACTTTTGATAATACCTTATTTTGCCAAAATCAAGCCAAATTTGCAACTATATATTGGGACAGCACAACAAGAAATTTGTTTAATACGGAGTTACATCACCTTTCGCCTTAACAACTGCCTGAACTCTTAATGGCATTGTATTTAACAAAGATTGGCACATTTGAGGAGAAAAATTATCCCAAATTTCCTGCAGTTTTGTCCGCAGATCAAAAATACCACCCTCAACTGTTCGTTTAGGGTTTGCGTAGCGACGCTCGACGCTCTCAGCCTGAATGTACCTTTATACTACCTATATGCCATCTAGCATCTAGCATAATGAAAATATGGTAAATGATCTAAGGTGAGGTGTCATTTTTAACCAGTGTATTATTTTAGGTTCTGGATCAAGAAATTCTACGTATTACGGAGGTTATACTTACGGAATATACAGTGGTAACAAAAAACAAAAAATGTAAGCTAATATATTTTTTTTAATTGATGTTTTTTTGAATTTCAAAATTTTTGGAACTTCATGGAAATCTGAAATCTTATAGGTGATTCTGTTTTAACTGTTATTTTATGCTCATTTTTTTTAATTCTTTAATGAAACTTTTTTGAATGTAGATATACAGGGTGGCGCACCTCATTCGCCTCGGTTGATTATATGAAAACGGAAAGATGTAGAAACAAAATTTTTTATGGGCATATGTAGAGAGGTAATTAGTAGTGGGAACTATCGAATGAATACTATCGAAACATTCGATAGTTGCAATTCATTCGAATAATTCGATAGCTAGTAAGAAAACATTCGTCGAAAACTATTCGAATAAAAATATCGAATAGATGCGTCATCTGCCTTAAAATATATTAATTCGGCAGCAAAAACCATTCATTTATAAAATTCATTCATTTGTAAAATTCATTTAT